TCTGTATGTGTTATGTCAACACAGTTACCTTTGTCAGCCAAATGTAAACTCTAAGAAGAAATACTAGATCCATTTGACAAGTTCTCCAGCCGGAAAACTGTGTTGACTAACAGGAGGTGTGTTTCCATCCCTGAGCGCCGGCCACTCCCTGCCCTGTTGGGAGCACAGGCAGGGTGACCAGCCTGCACTTCCTGGGTCGGCCGCTTGCCCTCTGGAAATGCTGGCACAGTGCTAAGTTTTTGTTTGCTTGAGCAGGGTCTTTTATTTATTATTCCAAGACCTCTGGAACTTCCTGGCAGGCCTGGTACGTGCTTCTGGTTTGTTTTTTTGGGGTTTTTTTTAAAGTCAATGTTAGGAATTTGGGTGAGCTCCTTCAAAGGCTCTGAGTCCAGGTTTTCTCGTTACTGATGTAAAGGATGGTTAGCAAAAGGTGTTGGGGATCTTCCCAATTTGCTTCTCAGAGAATTTTCTATAGCTGAGATTTAAGTAATCCTTATTTGAAAAGATAAAAAATCATGCTTATACTTTCTGCATTCTCTATATCAGGATAATTTCACTTTTTTAGCATCAAACCTAATGTATTGATAAATTTTTCCTTTTTTCCTGAGAGACTTAAAGCCTCTAGGTTTTTTTAATATCTTCCAGCTTTCTTTATAAAATGTCTTGAATTCCATAAAATTTGCTCTAATTTTATAATGGATTTTTTGGGTTTTTTTGTTGTTTTGTTTTGTTTTGTTTTGGGATTTTTTTTTGTTTTGGTTTTGGTTTTTTGGTTTTTTGTTTGTTTTGTTTTGGGGTTTTTTTGTTTGTTTGTTTGTTTGGGTTTTTTTTAATTTGCCTCATCTTAAAAAATTCTTATTTTAAACAAATTTTTTTAAAAAAAAATACACCATTGCTTTTCTTGGTGGGAAAGAGGGCTCTACTAAGGCATCTTTAGAAATCCTCTAATAAGCACTATCACACTTACTTATATCTAGATGTTTTCTCTCAGTTATTTTTGTGTCTGTTTCTTTCTAGTTTTGTGAAACTGACCTTTAAGAGTTGTTCTTTTGGAGCATGTTCTGTTTCCTTACCTCAAATGTAGTTGGAAACTGTGATTGATTTTCTTCCAGCTACTGCAGGATTTCCTTGTCCTAGAAAGATACCTGTTATATGTAGGTGTTGAGAGTTATTTTTTAATTTTTTTTTAGCACCATAAACCCTCCAGCATCTGCCATAAGCCTGAAATTACATCTCTTCTTGCTGTATATTGTGGGTAGATGCTTCAGGAGCTGCTCATCTGTTCCACTGATTCACTTGTCTACAGCAAACTCCTACCAGTGCTGCTGACGTACCCAGTCCATGGCCCCCTGAAATGAGGGGGCCCTGCCGCAGGTGGCTGGGCTTTCTGGATGTGCTCTGCTGAGGGGAACAGGCTGTGTGTTGGTTAAACAGTAAGAAGGTTGCTGACACTCCAGGGTCTCCTCTTCCTTACCTGCTGGGTTCTGGAAGGGACCCTGGAAGGGTTGCACCCAGCACCCCCTTGCCCTTCAGCAGGGATGGGTAGCAATGACATCAGAGGGGTGAGCTGCTGACAAATGTCTTTGCTCTTGGGGCGGACAGTCCATGCCAGAGGTTGCTTTTAGCTTTGTTACTGATGTACCAACTGGTCGGTGATGGGTTTGCCATAGCAAGCTGACTGCCAGTGCTCCCCTCTGTGCCACCAATCACGGGAATGGTACCTGTAGTGTTAGGCTGCTCCAGAGAAGCCTGGCTGGGGCTGGGGCTCAGCACAGTGAGGCCATGGGCTATAAGGCTGGTGCAGAAAAGTTGAAAGTGGTCTCTTGTGGGGGTGTGCTGGGCTCTGGGAGCAGTGGAGCAGGAGTGCAGCTGGGGATGGATCTGTCCCTCTGCTGCAGCCCCCTGCTCCTGTGGCTCTGCAGGTGGGTGCTGGAGTGGGGCTGCTGGCTGCAGAAGGTGGGAGAAGTGGGAGTGACAGTGGGATGAAACCTGTGAGAAAATCAATTTGGAATAAGGTAAAATGCAAACTTTAAGTGTAATAGGAGCATAAAGTGGAGAACAGTTTGAACCTGTCTTTTCCTAGAAGGTGTCTTGCACAGTGAGACACAAAGACATGGCATTTGTTTAGGCTGTGTTGGAGCCACAGGCACAGCCCTATGGCCAAACTGATTTGGAGAGGTCTCTGATGGCATCACTTTCACATTCACCTGCTCCTGCATTGGTGAGGGTTCAGGCTGGATTCCCATCCAGGCCCTGGCACATATCTCCTTCCAGCAGTGCTGCTCTGGGCTCCTCCTGGGGAGTGTCCAGAGTGCTAAGGAGAAGGTTCAGCCACTGTCTTGCTCCAAGTGGAATTTGTGCTCCCATGCTGTGCTGCTCCCATGCTGTGCTCCCAGAGCTCCAGAGGAAGCAGCAGCTCACTCAGGCATGAGCAGCTCCTAAGTTGCTTTGTAGCACAGTAGCTTCAGAAATATTTCTAAATTGGTCCTTCATGCAGCTCCATTGGGATTCCCAAGGGGATTCCATTCCATCAACTCTATGAGGTCAAAGCTTCCATTATTTGGGTTTGCTTTTTTCTTTTTCTATTTTTTTTTTCACGGAAAAAACGGTCTTTATGTAGATGCAAGTAATTTTAGGAACTCTGGATCTCAGGACCCCCTTTGTGAAACGGTGTAACTCCCAGCAGAAATTTTTGCTCCTCCCAATCCCAGTCATTTGCTCCTCCCACTCCCAAACCCCAGTTTGGAGCAGGACTTGAACACAACACTGTAAGTCATGGATATGTGGCTGGGGAATGGAGTTGAAGCAACTGTTAGTCACTCAGTTAGTCAGCAGTGCTCAGCATGCACTTCAGGTGTACCAGTGTTTTGAGAGCCAGATGGTATGTGGTCAAGTGATAAATACATTATTTGAGAGGAATTGTCATGGTTTGATGCTGGCCCAATGCCAGGCACCCATGAAAGTCTTTTGTGCACCCTCCCCTGCTACAGCTGGGCAGTGGAGAGGGAAAAAAAATAAAATTAACAGATGCTTTGTGAGATAAGGACCAGGAGAAAGGACATAACAGGCTCAACTTATAGTTGCAAAATGAATTTATTACTAACAGAATCAGAGGAGGGTAATGAGAAGTAAAATAAGCCTTTAAAACACTGCTTCTCCCTAGCCCCTCCCTCCTTCCCACTGACAGTGCAGAGAGACAGGGCATGGGGGTTTTGGTCAGTTCATCACTGAGATTCTCTTTCACTGTGCTGAGAGAGGAGTCCTTCCTCTGTGAGACCATGGAGTCCCTCCCACGGGAGACAGTTCTCCATGAACTTCTGAGGCGTAGGTCCACTCTCATGAGCAGCCATACTGCTCCCCCCACAGTCAGACAGTCCTCCCAAAACTGCTGTGATGTGGGTCCACGGAGTACAATCCTCCAAGAACAGGGTGCTCCAGCCTGGAAGAAGGGGCCCTCTCTCTCCACTGGGTCTTCCACTGGATCACAGCCTCCTGCAGGCATCCACCTGCTCCAGCGTGGGCACCTCCCCCACAGGCTGTGGGTGGATCTCTGCATCCCAACCCCATGGGCTGCAGGGGCACAGCTGCTTCAGCATGGTCTTCTCCAGGGTCTGCAGAGGAATCTCGGCACCAGTGCCTGAAGCACCTCCTCCCCCTCTTCTCCACCGACCTTGATGTCTCCATGTTGTTTTCCCTCACATGTTCTCACCTCCTCCTCTGAGTAGAAGCAAAACCTGTGACTTTGTTTTGATTTCCTTCTTAAATATGTAATCAAAGAGGCGTTACAAACCTCTCTTATTGGCCTAGTTCTGGCCAGCAGCATGTCCAACTTCAAAGCCATCTCAGAGATTGGCTGTGTCCAGGAGCTTTTCACAGGAGCCATCTTTGTGACCCCCTGAACCAAAAACCAGGCCGTGCAAAATCAATACAGCAATGAGTCAGGTTTCCACTAGAAACAGTAATTCTGGCATTTCTGAACTGAAGAATATTTATCTTTGCAGTTTTTGACAAAAGTTCTGTTACACATGTAAGTCTCTATACAGTTAGCCACAAATTAATTGAAACAAAAGTCCTATAATTAGGCAGTAATCACGTAAAATAACACCCTGCCTCCCCAGATGGCCAACCTATGGACAAGAGAGCAAGCCATGTTCAGCACAGTGCTGAGCTCCTATTCTCCCTCTCTCAATCCCTCCAAGCTCTGTCTCTAGCAAAGGCTCTTGTTTTCTTTTTGGCCCCAAAGAGCATTGCTGCCCAAGGACTTGATGTTCCTAAAAAATCTGGAGAGCCAAGTACTGGTGTAGATAATGGTAAATAATTAATTATCT